TGGAGTCCAGGGGAACAAGAAATGAAAATAGGGTAAAAATTTGGGAAATGTAGATTAGATTTTTGTTCTTCAGCAAGTCATATATGTAAGTGAAAATATGTTATGGTATGTTTGATCATTTGGACAAAGAATATAAAATGTATATAAGACTGAAGTATGGAATATTTGTAGTGAATATGAAAATGAAATTTTCATATTCACTAAAACTAAATCAAGCCTGTGTAATGTCTCCTTGTGTGTTTAATTTACTTATGAATTAATGTATATGGAATGCTTATAGTGATGTAAGAGGCGGTGTTGTTTGGGGATATGAATGTGCATGTATTTTGGCATGTAAAAAATTCTCTGTTTTGGCTGAGAATCCAAATGATTTGCAATTAATTTTATATCAAGGAACATAGATCTGAAAAATATAGTAATATGTCAATAGTAAAATAATTGGGTGTGATGGGGAAAATGGAGGGAATGATTACAAGTTAGGTATTTTGTATTCTTGCTATAAAGTAAAATACACATAGAAAAATAGATGGAGACATTTTTTAAGCTACACTGGTGCTGATTAAAAGGTTGTGGACAATATGGTGATCTATTGTAAGACTGTCAAAGTAATATTTTATTATTATAAAAATGTTATAATGTTATATGGAAATGAGAATTGGGTATGTCAGGAGAAACAAATATAAATTAAATGCATTACTTAGGAAATATATGTGGTGCATTAAGAATATACGGTAAATTGTCAGGAATGAATGGGAATTAAATATAAAAATTAACTATCAATATGGAAAAAGTATGTTGACTGAATTGTAAAACAAATGCATAAAGGCAGAGTGAATAGGTCAAGAGAGGACTAGGAAAGTGATGGTTAAATGGAGTTGAACTTGGAAAAAGAGGTGAGAAGAGTAAAGAAAAAAAGCAATGTATCTACCAGATAAAAACATTATGGAAGCCAGTTGGCTGTAAGGAAAGAAGGTTATGAAGAGATACAGTGAAAGGTATTGATATAAAACTGCTGGAACAGTAATTAATCTTTTGAAAATCCATACAACCTCTGACTGCTTGTCTCTCCACTCTGTACCAAAGGTCCAAGGAACTCTGCTCAGAATCTAAAATGCATTGAGACATTTTCCCATGTAAAAATGGCTCTAGTCTGAATTTGCATTTCTTGCAGTTTATGTTTCCTTCCAAAGGGAGTTCCTCACTTTCTCTCTCTCTCTAATCCTTTACTGACTCGAAATCTTTTGAGTATACAGCTCTGATGCCTGACCTCAACATTTTTAGTGAAGCACATTCCAGCTCTATGATTTCATGACACCAGGCTGAACTCCCTGCTAGGCTGCCTTCTGACTCTTGCTGGGTGGATAAATAGTGAACAATGCTTATAGAAGACCAATCAACTAGGTATGGCTTTAGTACCATGGTTTCAAGAATTCTCTTTTATTCCTCTCAGTAAAGTAAAATGCTTTATGCTGCCAGAATCCTTCACTAATGAAGAATCAAAAATAAAAACAGCATACAATAATTATATACCGCTCCCAAAAAAAGTTACGAACAGCATAAGAACAAACTTCATCATGCCATCACTTAGTTCAGGGGTGTCAAACTTGGGGCCCAGGGGCCAGATGCATCATGCACTAGCCACGCACACCCCCAGTTTAGCAAAGGTCAAAAAAGTTGTGATACGTCATGTGACGACAACGTATTGTCGTGAGTTTGACACGCCTGACTTAGTTTATCAAAAACGTTAGCCACATACATCCTTCTTGTTTTACTATCCTATCAGACGATTTATTTAACTGCAGATGTCATTCCTTTTTCAGTAATCGAGAATCAGGTTAAGGTATTGGACTAGGAATGGAGAGACTTCCTGTTCAAGTCTAGTCTCAGCCTTACAAGCTCCCTTGGTTACCACCTCAAGAGGGCGGGGGGTGGGTAGTAGTTTTTTGGAAGAAATGAGATGAGGGATCGTGTTGTATTCTGCCTTAAACTTTTGTTTCAAAGGCAGAATATGAATCAAATATTATCCTGTTGTGCCCATATCCTTGAGAATATTTTCACTGTTCTGTAATCAGTATTAATCATCTTTAGAATTTAAAATGTGCCTCTTCCTTAAATTTTGTTGAAATTCTAGTCATAGTGCTTTTAGCTAAGTTTGTTCCCCAGGAGGTAATGCAATAGAGCCACTTTGAAATATATCTTCTTGGATTGTTATTGAAGTCCATTCTGGCTGGATGACTTGCAGGTGCCCTCTGTATCTGCAAATCTATATAATTCAAATGAAATTGAACTCCTAAATAAACGTAAATAAAACTATGCTGTTAATCACTTGGTGTGTCATTTAATCTGTTTCTAAAAAATGTTTCACCATTGTTTTTTTAGTGGTATGGTTTATTAACAAATTAAGTTTAGAACAAAAGCAATTTCTTCCTCCTCTCTCTTTTTCTGAAATAGTTTTAAATACAGCCGTGGAGCCTTGCTTGCAATTCCTTCCTATTAATAAGTTTCTTCCACTCAAAATTCCAAGCTGGGTAGAGACACCTTTGCTGCAGATGCCTTGGAAATGGGGAATAGCCTCTTAAAGCCATTTATGCTTATCAGGGTTGTCTGCTGTCTTTGGGTGATACTGAATGGAGAGGTGAATTCAGTTTCTTAGATTCCAAGCTCTGAGAAAGGGCTGAGGGGAGGTAGTTATTGTAATGGGATTCTTATTAGAAGTCCTAGTGATACTTTCACCTCTTCCCAGCCTTAAACACTGGCACATGGAAAATATTTAAAATAAAAATATTTCCAGTTGATTTGGAGGTATATGGGATGTTTGAAGTGCAATAGATCAAATTCTGACAGACTGGATTGCTGAGAGACTGGTCAGCCTTAGAGGCTGGGAGGGGGAATAAAGCAAGCTTCCTAAGATGTCGTAATTTAACTAAGCCCTACATATGTAATTGTTTTAATCTTTTCTCCCAGAACTTAGTTGTTCCCAGGCGTTTAATCATTTTGGTTTTTCTCTGAGCTCTCTCCAGATTATCAATATGTTTCATTGTTGAGGTATCCATAATGGGTCACAGTATATTAGATGTGGTTTTTAATTCTGCATGTAATATGATCTATCCTTAATCATTTTTATTTTTTTAACATAGATGTTTTAAAAATGTGCTACAGTGTGGCTATCCTACATGTTTAATGAACCGTTTTCCTTCCCTGCCTGTTCAGGTTTCTGTTAAAATACAGAAGTGACTTTTCTTTTTTGTAAAAAAAAAAAAAAGGGACATGAATTGAAGGTAACCTCTTCTGAGATTGATATTAATCCACGCGCACAACACTATTTCACCTTGTTATCTAGTCTATCTTGGAGAGGGGCCTTCCCTGCCCTGGTACCTCTGAATGACTTTTATTACAACTTTTATTTATTAACACACCTTGGATTGATTTTTTTTTTAAATAAAAAACCTGGCCGTTGTATTTAGCTATGGGGTCTCCAACAACACTTCACTGTGCCACATAAATTTTGAAATGGAGCTGAGTTTCAAAAGTACCTTATGATATGGCATGGGTTAAAAAGAAAAAAGGAAGTAAAAGCAAATTCTTCTGGATGAATGGAATCCCTGGAGTTTTTTAAGAGCAAACCTATATCCTAAAAGAATGTGAGGTTTTTAAGAATTCTGTTACTACTGGAAGTGGTGAGCTTGGCACCAGGATGCAGATTTTGGAAGCAAGAGCCCTTTTTAGCTTATAGTGCATTTCTAGTCTTCACTGTGTATTTTTCAGCACTAAATAACTTTTTCAGCAGAAGTGATAATTTAATGTGAATGTTAAATTTGCTTCATCATTTAATATGGAAAGTAAAGTTAAAGCGACCACCCAGGAAGTAGCTTGACTCTTGAGAGATGGAACTGTCAGACCTTACTGATGATTGATGATTTCAACTGATTCCTTAAATAGCCTAATACCATGTTACAGCCCAGGTTCTTTTTCGAAGCGTACTGAATAATCCAGTTCTGTTTAGACAATCATATTTTACGCTTTCCATTTTGTATCCACAAGCATGCTTTTCTCTCAAAGGAATCAGTGGATGAGTAGTGCTTAAAAGACATCCAGGCAACCAGAGAATGAGAGGGTTAGGAAAAAGAAATTGAATAACTAGAAGTTGATAGGATGATGCTACAATAAACAATGTGTGACTATGTATTTTGCAACGGGGGCTTGGAATTTTGTTTCCAGTCTCATCTATTTTTCACTCCATTCTGTCACTAAAGAAAAATGCAGAGTGCTAGTACGTAACTTCATTTTCTCTTATAAGCAATGTGTCCATTGTTACTTTATACCACAGTGTTATTGTCTTTCATAATACACAGAACAACAAAATAAAAATTGCCTCTAGAATTAGGTGACCTTAATGTAAAGAAAAGAAACTGAATAGGGAAAAAACGTAGATTTGTTCTTCCATCACCTTTCTTTCAGATCAAAATGAAAGCAGTGACTAGACAATATTTGGATTAATTACTATATGAATTTTGTTTATTTTACTGGAAAAGCTTAGATTGAAGAGTAGCATTCTCCAAAGCTTAGATTGTGAGAATAGCATAAAAAAATACTATAGCAATAGCAATAGCACTTAGATTTATATACCACTTCATAGTGCTTTACAGCTCTCTCTGAGCGGTTTACAGAGTCAGCATATTGTCCCCAACAATCTGGGTCCTCATTTTACCAACATCAGAAATATGGAAGGCTTTGAGCCCCGTCAGGATCGAACTCCTGGCAGCGGGCAGAGTTAGACTGCAACACTGCATTTTAACCACTGCACCACCAGGGCTCTATACAACCTTTTAGTATAAAGTGGTATTTAATGGGCAGCCTTTGTGACCTTAGTTGTGCTGCTCCCCAAACTTGTTGGATTCATCTGAGCTTTATGGGAAGAAGAGCATACCTGCATGAACTATATGTGAGCTGTCAGTGATAATTTACCTATATCTAAGCCTATGGTTATGGTTTTCTTACAGAACAAAGGTCTGAAAAGGATTTTCTCAGGAATTCAGCCAACCGGGATTCCTCACTTGGGGAATTATTTTGGTGTCATCACAAGCTGGGTGAAGCTACAAGAAGAATGTAGTTCTGTATTATACAGCATTGTGGACCTCCACTCCCTCACCATACCAAGAGAGCCGGCTGTTTTACGTGAAAGCATCCTAGACATCACTGCTGTTCTCCTGGCCTGCGGCATAAACCCACAAAGATGCTTCCTTTTCCAGCAGTCCCAGGTCAGTCTTTTCCTCTGGAGGTTTCTGCGTGGTTTTTCTAGATCATACTATATCTGTGTGTCTGTCTCTTTATGCTGTTACCCACATAGCTACATCAATAGTCAAAGCTCATTTTGAATAGTACAAATGAACAATGGACAGGAAAGATTATCAGCCTTTTAGGAGAGCTGCTTCTGGGCTCACTTACAAAGAATAAAAATTTTGGCCAGGTACAATCTTTGGAACGAAAGAGCAGGTAGCTATGCCTCAGAGTCTTCATCTTGTTTCCTTTATAGCCCTGCTCTACATTAGAGACTTAAATGGGAAAGTGAGAATAGAAGAAAAAATGTATTGCGAGGCTGAGTTTTTATGGTTTGAGTACTTGCACAGCAGTGTGGAGGAAGAGTTTCTGTAAGGAAGAAAAAGGAGTTCCATTTTGGTGTTAAATTGCAATGGTCCAAAGAAGGAATAGGAAGAGTCTGCTGGTTGTAGCTTTAGCATTAGCACCAACATCTCTGGGATCTGGAGAGAAAAGAATTGGTGCTGACAATAACTGCAGGAGGGAGAATATAAAATAATTTTGCATTGTTTATGAACTCTGGAGTAACATTTGTAAAGAGAAGGTTCTGCACCATTCAGGCAGAGTTCAAGGAATGAGAAACTCAAGCGTGTGAAGAGAACAGACACACGGAGGGTAGGAAGCTTAAAACAGAAACCCATTCTGTGCTAAATCGTGATTGCTACAACCAAGATTTGTTGAATAGGCTACAAGGAGATTCAGTTTACATAACACATGGAGCCATAAACCATTAGTTATATAATACGATAAGCCAGAACCAAATAAACTACATGATTTAATGCAATGTATGAACGCAAGCTAATTGCAACAGTGTTTTTCCTCTGCGTGGAACATAACAAATTATACTGAAGACTGCAAGCGTGCTTCTCGGTTGCAATCTTGCATTTAAGTAACATAGTAATATTTTCATTTGCTTATTTTCTGCCACTTCGCTCCCTCAAAGCATATGATCCTTATGAACATTGATTTAATGGTAGGATTCTCCCCAAAGTAAATAGGTACAGAATGAACAGGAATGTTTTGTGCCGGTGAAATAATTTGCAAAATACCTGTATTGGGGTGAATTTTATTGTTCTGGCTTTAGTTTGTCCTTACCAGCAGGAGGCTGACCCAAGTGGCCACAGAACCTGCTGATCTTTTATATCTGGTGTTCATCGACTGTCTCTACACACGCAAGGCTCCCAGTGCTTTCTTTTCAGTGCCACAATTGAAATGCCCCAAGGTATGCAATTTGGCAAGTCAAGGCAGACGCTTGTATGAAAAATAGACATCTTGCATGAAAAAGTTTTCCAAACTCTCTTCTCTTTATGAGGAGCTTTTTGATTTGGGACATGTCAAAATTTTAATGGATCCTAATATTTATTTAATAAGAAGAAGAAAGACAAAAAAAAGTTTGGATAGTGGATGTGACAGTACTGGGAGACAGTATAATAGAAGAGAAAGAACTGGAGAAAATCTCAAAATACAAAGACTTGCGAAGAGAAGTGGAATGACTTTGGCAAAAGAAAGCAGAGATAGTTCCAACAGTAATAAGTCTAGTCCCTAATTGGCATTCCAACAGCTTCATCAAAACAAAACAAAAACCCAGCACCAGCTGCAATAGTTGAAAGAATTAAGACTCTCCCAAGAGAAATGGCAAACATCAAAAGAGAACTAGAATATATCAGAAGAGAACCTTTCAGAATATTTGATTTCAAATTAACACTGTCGCAGAAGAGAAAAGAACCAGTGGGAGGCAAAACATTCAACAAAAACATTCTAACAACATTCTGCCTAAAATATGTTTAGTAGATTATATGGATAAGTCAAATATCTTTATTGGATATTAATATTCTTTGCTCATTCAACAGTTTTTACAAGAAATGAAATGGTTCTCTTAGAATTAATGTGCCAGATTTTTTTTCTTTTTCAGAATTAATAGTTCTGTAGTGACATAAGACAGAACCAAAAATACTCTTGAACACAGAATGACAGATTCTGCACACAGTTCCACAGAGCTACTGTTTGAATTCCTGCTTTTGATTGCAAATTCAAATTGACACAAATGTGGTTCTCTAGCTGAAGAGTGTCACTTTCCAAAAACAGAGCTGTAGAATTTCATTTTAATTTGCTGCTGCTAGCTAATACTATTTTTCTGACCATTAATAACTGCCTTTTGAATAAAGTCAGGCCAATAATCAGAGCTTTCATTTAACTGTTTCATTGTTTCTATTATCCATAGATTTTTGGTAGTTTGGATCCGAGTGATCTGGAACTGCTATTTGGCTCTGAATCTCATTGGCTGAGTTAAAAAGGAAAAAAATTTGGAAAAGCTGCCAGAGGGATACATATGTGAAATCATTCAACATTAATACAACAATCAGTTTCTTTGAAAAATGTAGTTTCTTAGAAAACTATCCAAGGTAGATTAGATTAACAGTAACCCACAGAAAACAAAAGTTATCAGAATATATAAGAATTTACAGTCAGAATCAAAAAAATAAAGGGAAAACATTGATCAAATAACGTTGATCAGCAAAGAAAAAGACTAAGCTTATCTGTCCTGGAAGACAACTAATCAAGAAACAGTCTCAAAACTAGTTTTATGCAAAGGGTAGTTGGTTATTGCTGTTGTTGGTTGTTCTTATTATTTCAGAAAATCAACTATCCATGTTTGGACCAAATAAAAATGAAATATTGTGAATAGCATAATGAAATGAATATGAGAAAGACAGTATATTAAATACAAATACACTTTAAAATCAGATCTAGGTGCTCCTTGAAGTCAGAGTTCTAGGGATCAGTAGGACATGCGATTTTGGATGATCACATCTTTGACAAATTCAGCTGGGTAAATTATAGTGGAATTTATAACACTTTATAATACATCTACATATTTTCAGCTATGCTGCAGGAAAGATTTACAGAAGAATAAGTATACTGATAAGTACACTAAATGTAAGTACCCTTGATTCTGGCTGTTAGGATATGAGACTAAACTGGGTGATTTCTGATAAGAGGGGAGATACGTTGTAGCAAAGATATAAAATATTAGTTTTGTCTTTTCAAGATCAAGGACCAGTCTAAGTACACATTGGAAAATGCTTTTAAGCTCCAGGCTTGCTCTAAATGTCTCATTTGGGTGGCGTAGGAGACAGCCAGAATGGTTTAGGATCCAATGGCCTAAACTGGGTTCTGCACTTTGCCCGAGTACCTTTCATAGTCAGCCTTGGAGAATGATGGGCTTTGCCCTTCAGACTTGGGAGTTCTTTCTCCAACCTCAGAGGACAGAGTCCTATGACCTTTAGGATGGTAACTCAGAGGCCCTTGCACTCATCCTTTTGATCTTTTATTAATGGGTTAGGCATTAAAATCAAATCTAAATCTAAATGAATTACCATATTTTTCGCACTATAAAACACACCGGAGCATAAGACGTACATTAGCTTTAGAGGAGGAAAACAAGAAAAAAATAATCTGCCTTTGCCCAGCATCCATCCGGTATTCATCTGGCTAGCGTCCTTGCAGCAAACAGAAACAGCCTGGTCAGCTTCAGCACATTATCGCAGCCCCAGCACATGGCTCGTCAGGGCTCCGCTCCGTTGTGCCCACCACTGGTCAACAGAGTTGAGTTGCCGCCGCTGCCAGGCAACACTGGAGCCTTCACTGCTGAGCAGCTGATCGGCGGTTAGATCGGCCTACTGGAATACTGCCAATCAGCTGTTATAGGTGGCGGGGATGGCGGCAAATGGCGGCAATCAGCTCCGGTTATCCCTGCCATCTAGAAGAAGCTGATCGGCAATATTCTGGGAGGCCGATCCAACCACTGATCAGCTGCTTGGCAGTGAAGGCTCCATTGTTCCCTGGCAGCGGCAAACGGCAGCAGTGGTGAAAGGGATGGTGAACACCGCTGCCGCACCAACCCCATCCCCCCAGCACAATATTCGCTCTATAAGACCCACATACATTTCCACCCACTTTTTGGGAGGGAGAAAGTGTGTTTTATAATGCAAAAAATACGGTATTTAAAGTCAAAAATTACCTTTACTAATTTTGATATGATATACAAGTAGGGCAAGTTATAATTAACACAGATCAGCAAGTTGAGCCTAGAATATATTTTTGGGAGCTAAAATAACCCAATACATGAATGAATACACACACACACACACACGTATGTGTATATGTATATGTATATATGAGTGCATATATATATGTGTGTGTGTGTGTATGTATGTATATAAAATCCTTGCCTTTATTAGGAAGGACATCTTCCAATTGGTGTTGAGTTTTTATAAAAAACACAATGTACTTATTTTCGTATTTCATTTGTTTCAGGTGCCTGAACATGTTCAGCTTAGCTGGGTCTTAGGGTGTTTGATAGGCATCCCACGTCTGGAACATTTTCCCCAATGGAAGGTAAGGTTCCATTGAAAAGAAAGAGGTGAGCTATCTAGGAAGGTTCTTCTCCATCAGCTCAATAACCCATTCTTCTCCGCAGTAGCCCATTCTTCTGCCTGTGCATAAATATAAAGAAGAAGTGGGAATCCTTGATGATCTGGCTGAGATCACTGAATATTTGAATCTTCTATGCTCCAGATTTTTTTTATTGCCTTTTCTGTAGGCTGGTCCTTTACTTTAAAGTATTTGCTTAAGTGACTTTCTAATTTTGGACAATGTTCTTATAAATCATGTATAGGACCTTCTAATCTATCTATCTATCTATCTATCTATCTATCTATCTATCTATCTATCATCTATCTATCTATCAGCAGTTTCTCAGTTTATGAAAAAACAATCTGGCCTAAGTATGACTGCTTTATTCAAGATCAAATAATAAAGAGATTAATCAATGCTGTATTATTTTTCTACCACTAGCTTAAGAAGGCCAGACAGACCAGTGGAGGAACAGTTGGGCTCTTCACCTATCCTGTCCTTCAAGCGGCAGATATTCTTCTCTACAAGTAAGAATGACAGTTTCCCTATTTGCAGACGGAATGCCTGTAATATAATGTGTCAGAGAAAAGGTACAGCTGAGCTATTGAGAGCATCCAACTCCCGCCAACAAAATGGTATCAACCATGGAGCAGATCCCCTGCCCTCCACCTTAAGAATCTGGATCGGGACTCGTTACGCACGGTCACTCATGCCCTCGTCACCTCCCGTCTGGACTATTGTAACACTCTCTACATGGGGCTCCCCTTGAGGAGCACTCGGAGGCTCCAACTGGCGCAGAGTGCGGCCGCGCGGGTGGTGATGGGAGCGACATGGCGCTCCCATGTAACGCCTCTCCTGCGCGAGCTGCACTGGCTCCCGGTGGTCTTCCGAGTGCGCTTCAAGGTTTTGGTTATCACCTTCAGAGCGCTCCATGGCTTAGGACCTGGCTATTTACGGGACCGCCTGCTGCCACCAATAGCCTCCCACCGACCAGTACGCTCCCATAGAGAGGGGCTCCTCCGGGTGCCGTCGGCCAAACAATGTTGACTGGCGGCCCCCAGGGGGAGAGCCTTCTCTGTGGGGGCACCTACGATCTGGAACGAGCTCCCCCCGGAGATACGGAGGATTCCGGATCTGTGTACCTTCCGTCGCGCGCTTAAGACGTTCTTATTCCATCAAGCTGGCCTGACCTAAGTTTTTTCCCCTTTTTAAATGGAAATTTTAAATTTGGTTTTAATTTATTGGGGTTTTAAAATGGTTCAGCCAAATTTATTTAATTAGTTTTATCTCTATTTTAAATTTTGTATCTATATGTTTTATTTTATGGCTGTTCACCGCCCTGAGTCCTTCGGGAGTAGGACGGTATACAAATTTAATAAATATAAATATATATATATATAAATATAAGAAGTGCGAATTGCTCTGTAGCAGATCTTATGGAGAGTATACTGCTGAAAGCTTGGAAGGAGAGCAAAATAAAATTTCCTTCTGCTCCAGCTTCTGTAAACTACCAGCAAATCTATTTGCTCTATTTAGCACTCATTCTTCAGTTTTCTAAAGGAGTTTGAAATAAGCAGATGAGATGGCACAGTTTTCTTTTTCATTTGAAAGGTCAACACATGTTCCTGTTGGAGAAGATCAAATCCTCCACTTGGAGCTGACTCAAGATACAGCTCGCCACTTCAATAAGAAGTATGGGGAGTTCTTTCCAGTACCCAAAGCCCTTTTAAGTGAGTAAGAAGAATAGCGAAAAGCACAACGAGCCGCTGGTTGAATAATATCAATATGTTTTAGATGGGAGGAGGATTGGGCAGCTATCAAAGAAAAGAAAATTCAACAGTGAATCTTTTTGGCGGTCTGAAACAAACATATGTCATCATTCCAACTGGGAAAATATGTGTAAGGCCACAAAAGCTATATGAAAGGCTGCCTGTCAGATCTAGAGAGTAGCTTGGTACTCTGCATCTCATGTCCATCAAGTCACTCTGCATCTGATGAAGTGAGTTGCAGCTCACAAAAGCTTATGACTTAAAATAAAAACTGGTGAGTCTTAAAAGATGCTACGAGACTCTGATTTTGGGCTATACTAGACTATACTAATATGGCTCTTTTCCTATATTATGTACAGGTTGTAATTACCTGTTTTCTTTTGATTATAGCCTCATCAAAAAAAGTGAAGTCCCTCAGAGATCCCACATCAAAGATGTCAAAATCAGATGCTCATAAATTAGCCACAGTGTGTATCACCGATAGTCCTGAGGAGATAAAGCTGAAATTTTGCAAGGCTGTCACAGACTTTACCTCTGAAGTGACCTATGATCCCGAACACCGCCTGGGAGTCTCCAATCTTGTGGCTATTCACTCTGCTGCAACAGGACTCAGCACAGAGGAAGTGGTACAGCAGAGCATTGGCCTGGATACGGCCCATTACAAGGCAGTGGTGGCTGAAGCGGTTATCGAAAAACTTGCACCAGTTAGGAATGAGTTTAAGAGACTAAAAGAAGACAAATCCTACCTAGAAGAGGTTCTGTCATCCGGAGCAGAAAAAGCCAGAGAACTTGCAGCTCCTGTATATTGGGAAATTAAAAGATTGGTGGGGTTGAATTGAATCCAAGAAAATGTAGCTATCATCTTTCATTACTTCAGTTTGTGCCCTACTGTATGTTACAGTCCTCTGTTTTGAGGCTCCAAAAGAAGATTGATTGTCAGATATTTCCCTCACATGTATTAATTCTTTTAGAGCCAGGCTTGGAGACTGCAGAGAGCCAAATGACATGCAATACAATGAAGACATCTAAGTATGGTTAGGGTGGAAAGCTGAATCTGCTCCAAGGGCCAGGTTTCCCACCAGGTAGATGATTGTATGGGGTGGCATTTCTGGAAGAAGAATCCCTTCCCATTTCTGCCACATAACAGTCTCTTTGGTCCACTAGTGGCTGCAGTTAATCATTCCTAGGATCATTTGAGTGGTGGAGACAATTGTAGCTGATCTGGCTTTGGTCTGCCCTCAAAGCAGAAGATGGGAAGGCATTGAGAATTAAGATCTTTAAGAGCCGTCTTGCCAGTCCAAGTAAAAATGCTGTGAAGCCAGTTCAGCTGAAAACTGTTCTTGCAAGTTACAACACTGTTGTTGAGACTTTTTTTTTAAACGATCCCACATATTTTTATAAATAACTCAAGGCACTGAACATACCTAATACACCTGCCTCCTTCCATTTTCCCCACAACAACCCTCAGTTAGGCTGAGAAAGAATGGCCTGCCTAAATTACCTAGCCGGTTTTCATGCTTAAAGCTGGATTAGAACTCAAAGTTTATAGCCTGGTGCCTTCATGACTAGACCAAACTGGCTCTTCGTTGCTCCCAGTTCAATGGCAGAATAGCAATTTTCCTGAGAGGAAAGACAAAAATATAGGAAAGCCCTGAAGGAGCTTTATGCTGAAGCAGCTCAGTGAAGTGATGGTTCTTGTTTTAGGGGGAAGAAGGAAGTTCAATCCGGTTTGTGGTCCCAGGCATAAGATGGGGAGAGTTGATAGTTCAGAGTTTGAAGATTCCTTAATCACTTCTTTCATCTTTTCCTTCCCCTTTCCAGTATGAAAGCTGCCCTAGATAACTTGGGCTTAAGTGACAAAAATGGTAGACGATTCTAAACAACGATGTTGTTTAGAATATTCTGCCATCCTAATGCAGGCCTTGGTTGTTGCATAAGAGAGTTTCTCAGGGCATTTTATTCTGTAACAGAGCTTAAGAAGATAGGAAATGGCACTTATTTTCTAATATATATTTTGGGAAAAGTCAGCCACATATCTTTGGATATTTGAAAAGGGAGTGCTGAGTTCATAATTCATGTTCTTTCTCAGAACAAAGAAGTTATTCCTTCCATTCCATAAAATGTGAACCGCACCCGGGCATCTTCCTTCTGGTATGTTTGCAAGTTTATTTGAAGTGCAGCATAATCTATGGAAAACAGGACAACATTATTATATTGCGGATGCTTGGCAGGCAGAAGAGCCTCTGCTTTATGAACTTAGATTTTTTTTCATGTGGAGCCAAACTGATTCTGAAACAGACGTCTTCAAGTTTTTGTGCCTTGCGTAAGAGTGTGAGCAAAAGACTGCAGCCAGAGCCAGGGTTCCCAAACAGCTGCATAGCAACTCCCAACTCTCTTATTTTGTTTCATGTTTACTGACTTCATAGAAAGCCCTACAAACTCCAGAGCCAGTTTTCCAATGTCATCCCCTTAACGTTTAGCATTGTTAGATCATGGTCTTGACAAAAATCCCAAATGATGTGGGAGCAACCATAAACCTATTCAGCCGATGCTTCATCACCAGTTCTCTATTCTTCACACCCTGCCTGCAAAACTAATTCTCCTGTAAGGTTCCCAGGATTTGTCTGTAAGCATCCATGAATACATAAAAAACATGTGTGACACAGCTTTCCCTGGCCCATTGTGTGGAAGAAGAGGGTGTATTTGTACTGTATGATAATACTTCTGGCTGTTCCCTCTTTTGAGGGAGGCAAGCGGTTCAGAAATGTGAAATATGAATAAATAAGTGAATATTCTACACATCTATAGTACTATCATGGTTGTGCCCTGTGGCTACATGGCCAGAGCCAGCCCAGAAAGCACTGGTCCAGCCTGACAGCACCTCCTTGCAGCCTGCCAAATTGCTGATTGGTGGGTTCCTGGGAGAGTGGAAGGTAAAGGGCAGGATGCTAGCATCTTCTTCTGAATTGCCATCTGGAAACTGTTTACACGTGGCTGCCTGCTAACCACAGACAGATTCAGCTCTCTATCCAGTCTCATCAAATGGTGTGTTTGAAAACAAACTCAGACTCTTCATTTAACCATTTTAGCTCTTTAGAGGGATTAAATTCTACCTTTTGCTGGCTAACTTAAACAAATGTTCACTTTTGTGTGCAGATGTCTCCGTCGTCATCAGCCACCACTGGTTTGCTTTTCAGTGTCAAATTGTAGGCTGCTGCAGAGAAGCACTTGGGGGGGGGAGGGGAGAATTCAGTGCTTTTCCTGCACTGTTACGATCTTTCCCAATTCTGTTTAAACTCAGTGCATTGACATGAATCTCCCACATAAGCTAATATGAACTGATATAATGGAAAGAATTGTTGGGCCCGTTATCTCATTCTAAAGGCAGTGAAAGTTGAAAACAGTAATAAAATAGTAATAGACTTTTGTTGCTGAATCAACTGGAAACCGTTGTTGGTAAAATGATTAAAATACTGGTGAATGGGAAGTAAGTTGCATTCATTCGGATTCTTTTATTTTTTTATTTTTTTTTTTAATTTGATTTATATGCCGCCCTTCTCCGGAGACTCAGGGCGGCTTACAATGCGTTAAGCAATAATGCTGTAAAAGCAGATTTCTGCCAAGAATCTCATTGTCAAGTGTTTTTGTTACACTGTATAGCTAAACCTGTGGTAATTTTGATACAGATCAGTGAAAGCATGCTACATGCAATGTGGCATCAGTCAGGTGGATGAGGGATTTTTTAAGGAGAGGAACAATTCCGATCTCAGAAAACGCAGAATCATAACCAAAAACTGTGACAAGCCAAGAATGGTATAGGTCCTGAACATATTTTCGTGCCTCTGGAACTGGGAAGTTAATCACTAGCTGGATGATCAATAAAACACAGCACATTGCTATAGAACTATATTCAGCTATTTTCAGCAGAGCAAGGAACACATGCTGTTTTTTTAGAAAATGATAGGATGAAAACATTGTGCAATATGTAATGAATAAAACCTGTACCACAATGTTTCTAAAGAAACATCATTCCAGGAAGTCATAGCATAAAACGTTGAAATATTGCTTGGTAAAGTTATGGCCTATTAAACCCCACGAGCCCCAGGTCCTGCTTTTGGAATAATAAAGCACCTAGGCTTCTGTGAGATCTTATTTTGTTTCAGAAAATCAACAAATCAAAAATCAGTAGTGAGTCTGTTGGTCTTGTATCCCACCATGCTGGCCTAGAGAAATATCTCTTAAAAAATAGTCAGCAAAACATTAATTCTGTACCTGTATCATTTGTATACCTATGCATACATTGTATACCTGCCTCATTTCTCCTATTCTCCGTTTGAAAGCAGTAATGGCAGGGGACACTGAAGGTCCACAATCCCCACTTTGTAATCCCAAAAGTGCTGTTCAGAAAACAGCTGGACTTTCTTGGGGTTTTTTTTCCCCCTTTCCTTTCCATCCAAGAAACTTCTTCAGTTCTGCTGAAGAAGAACTAAGAAAACCATTTTAAACAACACCTTTGGGACAACCATGACCTGGATGAGTGAGAATCTCCATTGACACTTTCCCACTTTGTACTTCACTATGCTCATTGCCCATGTACACTGATTTTTTGTATACTTGCATGAATCTTGCATGAATAGTATTAAGTATTAAAAATTACTTGTTTAAAATAATTTAAAGATGAACTTCTCATGAACCCATTAAGACAAGTTGTGTCTTGCCCGGCTGACTGCTCGATCTGTTCAATCACCAGAAATGTCTTTTCTTGAAGTTCTGTGTCCCCATTCATTAAGTTCCCTACCTCTCTGCCAGAGCATTAGGATGTCACCACAGTTCAGTATTAACAAGCATGCATCAAAAAATGTACAGCAATATACGTACAACAGCTTTCTATCTTGAGCATTTTAATTCCATTTTAATGGAATAGCCAACACCGCAGAAGACAAGCTCAGGATCCAAAAAGTTCTTGACAGACTTGAACAATGGGCCTTATCCAACAAAATGAAATTTAATGTGGAGAAAAGCAAGGTTTTACACTTAGGCAGGAAAAACCAAAGATACAATTACAGATTAGACGAACCTGACTCGAAAACCATAACTGTGAGAGGGACCTGGGAGTGCTAATGGACAAAACTTAATTATGAGTCAGCAGTCTGCAGCAGCCGCCAAAAAGGTAATCACATGAAGACTACACCTGGAATTCAGCATCCAGTTTCGGTCACCATATTAGAAAAAAAGATGTTGAGACTGGAAGAAGTGCAGAGAAGAGCAAGGATGGTTTATTCATTAAACAATATGAAGAACGGTTGCAGGATTTGGGTTTGGCTACTCTAGAGAAAAGAAGGACTAGGGGTGACATGATAGCAGTATTCCAGTATTTGAGGGGCTTAACACAAAGAAGAGGGAGGCTCAACTTATTTTCCAAAGCACCAGAAGACAGGATAAGAAACAATGGATGGAAACTTATCAAGGAGAGAAGCAACCTGGAATTAAGGAGAAACTTCCTAACACTGAGGACAATTAACCAGTGGAAAAGCTTGCCTTCAGAAGTTGTGAGTGCTTCATCACTGGAGGTTTTTAAGAAGAGACAGCCACTTGTCTCAAATTGTATAGGGTCTCCACCTTGAGCAGGGGGTTGGATTAGAAGACCTCCAAAGTCCCTTCCAGCTCTGTTCTTAATTGAAATTTCTTCACTGTGCTTTTTTGATATAGAGATATCTCAGTCCTTTCCATCCAATCTGTTTTTCCCCTTACACTGTTACAATCAGATATTTCAGTCACCGGTCTTGGCATTTACTTAGAGGCACTAGCTGGTTCCTACTGGCTGCAAGATAGCAATGGGGAGCTGTTGTCTGAGATGGCCACCAGGAGGCAGTATCATCTAAAATGTGACATTCCAGTGCACTCCTAGAGGGCAAAATGGAGTGGACAAAAGAAATAATTTGTAATAGAGCAACAAGGATTTCTGAATCACTTTTCTTTGGCTAGAAAACTTTGGATAATCAGAAACGGGCTTGCATGCAAAAGGGTTCAGTCTGTCTAGTATGAAACATCCTTAGTTGAGTACTGTATACTAAAAGGTAGCTGTGATTTCATCCAAAGTACCATTTGATTGATAGATTGTGATTCAACACTCTGAAGTGAAGTAACTACTGAAAGTTGAAAAATTGTTGCTCTTGCTCCAGTCTTAACACTGTTTCACACATTACAGATCCTTAAAGGTAGGAAGGCCGTTGAGTATATACAGTCCCAAGGAACTTCAGCCAAGCCGGATTTGCAGGATACGGACAATGCCTGTAAAAGCACTGCTTTCTGCACAAACATTTTCCATTTGCAGCTTTGCAATATGAACGTGTACTGGATGGTGGTTTAATGGCTGAAGCTATCTTCCATCCTGCTCCTTGGGTATCACTGGAGAGTCTTTGGCTTGCAACATTCCAAATGAGACCAAGGCTGACCTTTGGAATTTAATGCAAAGGATATTTTTAGAAGCAGAGAAATCAGAAACTCTTGCTACTCTGGCACAAACATGATCATTATGCAAGTATGTACATTTAGGGAGAAAGCCATTGGTATGTTGCTCTTTTTTTTGTGCGTTTTCATGCCCTTCTAGATATATGGAGCAGTTCGGTGTTAATTAGATACATAAAGAAATGTGACCTATACAATAACAAGTTTCTTAGAGCTGAGAGAAGAGAGGCTACTTGTTCAGCCCTCCACCCTACAGCTCCTCGCTCCAATCCAAAAAAAGTTTTTTTACTTCAGATCATTTCCTGAGCCAATGGGTATAAATAGGAGAGAGATAGCTCAATAGCCTAATTTTATATCTTTATTTGTTAAATTTGTGTCCCATCACAGAATGCTCAAGTTCCCTAGTAAAGTCCTATTCAAAACCAAACATTTGGTGAAAAAAACATCAGTAATGTGTTTACTAGTTAAAATGTTTTCAACAACTTTATAGTCATTCAACATCTGCAGTTAAAAACTGATCTTCATGATACAAATCATTTTACCTCAGATGTTAGAAACATGGAACTTTCTGGGTAAACCTAGGAGAAATCAGCTTCCCATCCATCTGTGTCTATACTGCAAAACAGACAAAAATGTGGTCTTGAAACTTGGGATATGATAAAAGGCATAGCATCAGAGCCTAGTGGTGCAGGCTGTAACCCCCCCCCCCGAGTGATGCCCCCAGATTTGAATTCCTCTATCAGTACAAAGAAGTCATCAGAAGGTCAAAGTCTGAAGGACTGGAAGCAAGTCATCAAGGATTTTTGACTCTCGGCAGGTGTTTGGAGGATGTGCTTTTCTTTTACGTCCACTTTTTTCCATTTTTAAGTCCCAGGATGAAAAGAAAGTGGCAAAACTGGAGTTCATATGTGCTATGGATCCCTTCTACTAATAACTAGCTTTCCTGGTTTAAAAACGGTTTGCTACTATACTCAAGCTTCCACCGTGTTCCCAGAGTTAGGTGACAGCCATCTGGGTAACCTTACCTGTTCCTCAAAGACTGGGCCTGTTCAATACTTGGGTGGAGCTGAGTTTCTGAATTCTAGAAAGTTTTTGTCTCAGCAAGGTTAACATCTGATCACTTTGGATTCAAAAGCTAAGCATAGTTGAGTCTGGGTAACAGCTTATTAGAAGACAATGTAGACCACTTATGTAGGGTTGCCAGGAAAGTTGTGTGAATGTGTCCATGTAATCACCAGGAACTGAACTAGACTCAAAGCCATCTTTATTTTCTTTGGCCCCATTTGCACAGCACATCCATTTTACTCTGTGGAGAGGCTAACAATTGGCAATGATTTCTTGCTTGGGCTGATCATTGATGGCAAACATTTAGTAACCTGCTTTACAAAATCTATATCATAACTTGATTTAGAATTTATTTACTATTTTAACAACTAACCATACAGATTCATTTCATGGGTGCTAATGACCAAATGAGCTCGTAGTTGGCTGAATCTTACCTGATAACTTCTGCTCAGCCTCAGCCCATGCACAAAAAATGTTCGTCCAACAAAACATGACAAGACAAAGCTCTGAGATCCTTTGAGGACTGACATATATCTACACACTGTAGGGTCCAGACAGTAACAGTTAGAAATAATTTCTCCTTCAAATTGCCTCACAGATGTGCCAAGGAGGGCATTCCCATGGAACCAGTTACAGTACATCAACATCAGATTATAGAAGGCCCCTAACCATTTGAGAAAAGATGTGACATTGAGTTTATCTCTGCAGTTCAGTGATTAACAAGATAATACCAGTGATGTCAGAAAAACCATCCCCAATTTTTTTAAAGTCCCTGGGATCAGTTTGAAACCATCATTTCCTAGTGGTTGGGCTGATTGATCTGACAGGTTCTCACCTTCTCAAACAGGAAAAGGAATACTAAAGCTAAACATAAGCAACCCATGATAAGGGAAAAGTTCTAAAAATAGTGAAAAGTTCTAAATCATTTTCTTTTATATCAGTGCCTTCTTGCCC